GCCTAAATAACCAGTGTGTGCCATGTTGCACACAGACTGGTCAACAGGATTGTTGTACATGTGATCCCACTACAGGTGTGTGCAATTGTTACACACAGGACCTAGTTGTAATTACAGAGCAATCGTGCACATGCTTTCCTGTTAATTGATAGAATGATCAATCCTTATTGTTCAAGCATTACCCATGCTCAGTAATTTCTAACTTTTATTTAATGTAATCAAAAGAAATTCCTTTTTGAGTTTAGAAATCTTGTTTTAAATTACAATTCAAAAGAGGGTGAAAACTTAATGTCAAAAAACTAAAAAATCAATTATTTGCTACAGGTGGCTGTCAGAATTCTTCACCTGCTGGCAAACGACGTATAGCTGCTGGAGCCGATCCACTAGAAGGAAGTTCCTTGTACCTAGAGCAACAGAGCACCCCAGCTGTTCACCAGAGCACATCGTTTACCACTGTCACTGCATTGGCAGTTGGAGGCTGTGTAGCAGTCGTAGTACTTTTTGGCATCATTTTTGCTGCTCTGCAGGTGAGCATGAAAAGTACAGTAAGGTTTAATCTTAACCCACTGATGCAGTAACTACATTCACTGAAAACTCTTTAAAGGTCAATTTATTCTACTTCTTGTTTCTAGTTGCAACTGAATTTCATATTAGAAAAGTACACTATTTCCTTTTCACTGAAATAAAATGAACAATTATCATTGGATATAGTTTTAATGGTGTGAATTGAATTTTGAACCCCCTAGGAGAAACATTCAAATATTCTGCATTTAACCCCAAATGATGTGGAAAAAATGTCTATCCCAGTGAATTGTTCGAATGAAATTCTAATAACACTGAATCTAGTGTAACAAGATGAGATCTTGATCCTTAAATTTATCTTCAAATTTACAGATCCATTTAAAACTGAGACAAAAATACTAAAATAATACAGAATGATAGAAAAATTCTGTGAGACGTTTTCCTTGATAAGTAATTTGAGTTTAAGAGTTCTAATTTCTGCATCAGTGGGTAACGGGAGTTTTGCAAGATGTTTTCATTGATGATAATTAATTGATTAAGCAAAATTCTTTAAAATCAATATTTAGAATCTAAATTATTTACAATATTATTTTTTGGATGAAACCATGGGATTTAATTTGTTTGGAAAAATGCTAAATACACAGTAATTTTTAATTTCACAGTAACCTGACAGATGCTGATTTAAAATGGTGTACATAGTAGAAGTTAACGTTGCAGAATTCAACATTGTTTACTTTAATTATGCTTTGTTGATTTTAAGAAAGTATATATTTAAATTTAATTAAGAATATAAAACTTATTAATCTTGTCAGTATCTCTTCAATATTAACCCTATGACTGTGAGATTCTCAACTCTTTGAAAGTTTTAAGCCATTATGTAAATATGTTCCTGTGTTCTTAATCTTTTCATGTATTTTCAGATTAATTCCCACATGCGCAGAACCTCATGGCGACGAGGTGAAGGGTATGAAAAACTTCCAAAATTGGACACCACTACAACCAGCGTTAGTATGGCACATGCAGAATGTGATCTCACAGAAGAGGAGGAAGATGATGAAAGACAGTTGTTCACCAAGACGTAAGACGTAGAGCGAGTGGGTGACGGGTTGTACATAGAGTGAACTGACAACGTTACAAATTGAGATGTTATCACGTATGAAGGTTGAGGCAATCTGGTCAAGCACATGCTTGTATCTGCAGGCTGAAGATAGAGCACTGAACACACTGTCGACAAAGTGTTTGTTGATGACATGGTGAGTAGTTATTGTATTTCTGTAGATCACTGGGTGGTGCCTTGCCTGTTTTCTCCAGTGTGATACAAGTGTGTGCTTGTGTGCCTATGCCTCAACAACGTTCAGTTTTTGGCTGCTGCTGCTGCCACCGCTGTTGCTGCCCATACCTTCTGGGCACAAGCTACTCTCCAGATATTTCCTATACTGTATTTTCATGAATAAACAAATAAATAAATGGATTTTTAATGTAATGTGGGTATGGAGAGTTTAGTTTGTGACAGTGGATTTCTAAAATTTTGAACTAGTTATGTGAAGCTAGGTGGACTAAATCCTTTAAACGCCAGATACTGATGACAGAGACTCTCCTCCTTTTGGAAAGGGATGGGCGTTATTTTTTCACATGACCAAGGCACCATCAGATCCTAGAACTCGTTTTAAGTGCCTGTATGGACTGTATTGTCGTTACCTTCCTTGTCAGTTAGATCAATTCTGCTGGACATCAAGTGCCAGCCCTGAGATGTGTGTGTTTGTTGTGTCGAAGCATGAACAGTGCCCCACACTCTACTTCTCAAAGATTTACAAATTCATATATATGTACATGACTTTCCAATTGTTCCTCATGTTAATTTTTTGTAGGAAAAGGTTGTAAATTATTTCTTTGATTATGAGTTCAGTGTGCAGATTTTGAACTTCCTTATGCTACTGTTCATCTCAAAAACATATAGTGATTTTTAAATTTTAGTTATTATGCATACTATTATGTACAGACCCTTATTATTTGCTTCCTGTCTTCATAGACATACTGACTTTTCATGGACACAATTCAGTATGTGGTTTTTGATAATGAGGTTTGTGGAATTATTGAGAATAGTACGTAGTACATCAGAGATAGTCACTGTGTTATAATGGTCCAAATATATTTCAATCAATGAAAAGAGATCTACTGCTGTTCAATTATTTAATTTTTTACTTTTTGCTATCATCTTTCATAATTTTCACATAAATATTTGTATTTGTACTGATCAGATTTGTTGCATTGTCTGTTTCTTACCAGTGCTCTCAACATGGCAATTATAAATAACACAGTTGATGTTGCAAATTTGTGATAACTGTCTCTGATGACTTGTTTTAAAGCCTTTGTGTATATTTATGCAGAATTATTTTATATATTGTTAAACAATGAATCATACAGTACCATATTTTTTAACTTATATGTTATTATACATTCAATAAATTCAATCAATACAGCTACCAAGTACTGATGTGAATACAATTTTTAAATAGCAAGACAAAAAGATAATTTGTCAACAATACAAGTATATAGCCATGTATGTTGTAAAAAATTAAGTTTTTAATGTGTTTGCCTCATAGTGGTCATGTATTTTTTCCTTCACATTTCCTCCTTAAATGAAACAAAGTACACTAATTTTTGGCAGAAACATAAATGATGGATCGTGATTAATTCATTTTTGCCATTTATTTTTTTACAAGAAACATTTATATGGTACGATTCATAGTCACATATCTCCAAACATTTTGCGGTTACATTTGTGTATGTAATAAATATGATATACTATAAGCAACATTACTGAAATGGCTACATAAATAACTTTGAAAACCACTTGTCAAGAAATCTTTGTCAGGAAATTGCTGAATTTTACATTCAATACTTCTCTTTACCTGTGGTGTATGTGCACTCATCTTGGGATATTGATATTACATCCAACATGAAATTAATATGTATGTGAAAAATTGATCTGCTAAAATTTGTATAACATTTTTTGGTAGAATAACTTGTATTAAATAAGCTTTCTGTAAACATGTCCTAACTCATTTTTAACTAGAGAAACAGGCCCTAATCACTAATTTGTCAAATTTAACACATGGTCACTGCAAAAACACTGAATTAAGTAACCAGGATTTATATATGAAATGTGAAACATTTTTTAAATTTTTTTTATTGCCGTTCCACTTTTTCAATTCAAACTAAATTGAAAAAAATATAGTTAGTTCATTCACATATATTAACATGATTTGAACTAATAAAGTTATTCTGGAATATTAACTAGGATTAGAATTTTTTTGGATATAACTTTCATGAAAAAAAATTGCTATTTTGAACATGAAGCTATTTTTAAAATGCAGTCATTAACAGAAAATCAGCTTCTCTTGAGAATCAAGAGAATACTTGTATTGTGTACTTCTTTTCCCAGTTTAACCTTTTGAGGGATCCTAGCCAATTCTGTAAGTACAAGGTTTACCAAAATATGAAACAAATTTCCCATTTTTATTTTTTTATTGCAGGGAGTCTGAATTTTCTGGTAAAAATGGAGTCACTAGCTTGAACAAGTAAGCTGCAGTAAATGTTTGTATGGAAAGTTAAAACATGTGTATCTAATTATGTGTGCATTAATTCTTGATATACAAACTATGTTCAAATTTAAGTAATGTATGTGTGTTCGTATCAATTTTCATATAAATTGCAACTGATTAGAGCATTAAAATATAATGGTAGAAACTTCTCTACATACAATTTTGAAGTCTTGTATCATTACTCTATGAAAGCTGAGTCTTTCACAAAAAAATATTTGAAAACAAAAATAAACATTTTTGCCTCCTAATCTAGTTTCAAAAATAAGAGAAAACTATAAACGGAGTACTTATGAAACATCTCTTGTGAAAGAGGATCAGAGTGAACAGAGACACATTGGAAGGGGAATCTTTGGATCACTCACTTTAGAACACCATAAATTGATACCAAAATGTGAGTAAAAGAATAAAGTTCTTGCATCAATGTGTACACAATTTACAATTTTAGTTAAAAATACAACAGCACTTAAAAGTAGGCTCAAATTTGTTTATTAAATATCTCAGCAGAATTATACATCCAAGAGCATAATACACACCAAAGTTTACAATGGAAAATAAAAGAAATAAGAGGCGTTTGTGAATATTCATCGAAGAGATATCCTTCACGACCACTCCCAAACCACTCCTTTACTGTCTCCTCTCCCAGGTTTATTGAATAATATTTTATACTTAACTTTATAATGTTAGTCAAGAACACGTTATAAAGCCAAATTAAATTACTAAACAAAATCAATTTACGAAAAAATATAACCTACATTCCTGAAAGAGCGAAAACAAAAAATGCTGACATCAGTAGTAAATCGTAACCTTTAAATACACAAAATCATATGACCTACATATATATTTTCCTACGTGACACCTCCCACGTCCTCAATATTTAGCAGTAGTGCATGCAGGGTTACCAACAACTGATGTCGGCAGTATTTGCTTTTCAGTGTGGAGATAGGCTGTCATTTTAAACCTTTTTGGGTATGAAGATAACTTCTTTATTGATTATAAATGGCCTCCGAATGTATACATTCCCTTAAAGTCTGATTTCTTCTTTTAAACTTTAATATTTTTCTTAGTTATGACAGATGATAAAACAAATGAAGTTCTATGACGCGCAGGAGAAATACGTATGTCAGTTGTCGGTTTGGAAGATAATGAGATTAACTAGGTAGCAATTTAGAGAAGTCTTATAGTGCATTTAAGTAAGTAATCGCAATGGAAACTGGTCTGTTAAATGGTAATCAATAGTTGTATTTTGTCAGATCATTAAATCCATAATTTTTTATGGACGTTCATTTAGAATTCGTATTTTGATGCGATGATTACACTTGCTGCCGGTATACCATTGGACCATGGACGACTATAATATGTTGTAAGTTTTTATGAAATGTATTTGTATTATCGTTTTCAGATTTTTACTGTGAGAAATACCGCAGGGCAACAATGAATTCCTTCACCAAAGGGGTGGAAGAGCAGTCCTATCCTCAGCTGGACCTCAGTGGAAAATTAATTATTAAGGTTTGACTCCTTGAAATAAAAAATTGTGGTTGTATATTATTCTAACTTAAGAAATACAAATATTAATTTTGGTTGATGGCAGGCTCAATTAGGAGATGATGTGCGCCGCATTCCTATCCATAATGAAGCCATTACTTATGATGAACTGGTACTAATGATGCAACGTGTGTTTCGTGGGAAACTCAGTAGTTCAGATGATATTACTATTAAATATAAAGATGAAGGTATGCAGATTTAATTTCAATTATCCTTTAGAGTGTATTTGAAAGAAATGATCACCCCCCCCCCCCAATCTTTCCTAACAATGTTTTGTTTCATTCCAGATGGAGATCTAATCACTATTTTTGATAGTTCTGACCTTGCTTTTGCTGTTCAGTATAGTAGAATTCTAAAGCTGCAAATTCTTGTTGGCGGTGAAGCCCCAACACACAATTGGAATGCACCACCAGCTCATGTAGGCATTATTCGCAGAGAGTTACAACATATCCGTGATAAAGTTAATCATTTATTGGATTCCTTGGAGCCTCGGGCAGTAGAGGTTACAAGCTCAACTGCAGAGAACCATTGTGAGTAAGAATTGATTGAATCATTAACTGACTGATTGTTAATGTATTTTGTTGTGTGCTGTAACATGGCAAGTTTGCAATTACTTGTAATGCAAGAATTCCTGAACTCTTTTTTGTGGTGAATTTGTGCCATTTGGAGGGAAAGCATTTTTGCTTCCAAGGCAAACTTTGAAATTCTAAATTATTAATAGGCTTTTCATTGTGAATATGGTAATTTCAGCGGGACCCACAGAACGTGGAAATGCTACATCAAATTTAAGCTCTCGTGAATTTGATCCATTGCAAGAGCAACTGGCATCTAATAAAGGTTCAGGGGAAGGGGATACATCTGCTACTTCTAGAGAAGAACACCCACCAGAAGGTGAACATCGATTTTTCTTGTGATCTTTAGTAGTATAAGGGGGATGAAATTAAAGTTGTTTTCTTTTCCTGACTAGGAAGTGGTGTAGATACTGCTCGTGGGAGCACACCTGATAGCATTGGAAGTTCAGGATCAAGAAAGGTTTCTTCAGGATATGACCAGACTCAGTCTCAGTCTTCTCATCCACAACCTCAGCCTCAGCCCCAGTCCCAGCAGCAACTCTCTCAGCTTCCTCAGCAGCAGCAGATGACACAGGTCACTCCACAACAGCCTCCTGCCTCTGTGTATCAGCAATACCAACAAGAACAAGGTGGACAGTCTCAGTCTCAACAACAGCCAACCCCAACTCAACAACAGCCTCCGCAACAGGCCTATCAGCCTGCAGGTTAGTAGTATTACAGTCGATACATTAAGCTACACGTTATAGCTATATTGTTTTGTATGGCCGAAAGTCTTTGCTTGTCTGAAATTTCATAATTTTTCAGGAAACACTGATGCACAATACAGTTTTTATCAGTTTAAAAAGTTTTTATATTTTTATCAGTTTTCGGTATTAATATTCATCAAAAGTTCGTGTGCAGCTCCTTTCACGTTATAGTACAGTAAAACCTGCTCAATGTGGAACCTCAAGGGATCAGTATTTTTTTCTGAATTGGATAAGATTCTGCATTATGCAATGTAATACTGTACACCTTATATTTGGCAGGACATGAACAGAATTCCGCATTATACACATACCGCATTGAGCAAGTTCTTCTGAATTATGATTTTACTCTTAACCTGGTCAATATTATATGTCAATATCAATTATATATTATATGTCAATTATATGTCAATGTCATCAACGTGTAAAACAAAGTTCCCGATAACATTTTTTTGTATATCTGTTGTGGCTCCAGTCAAAATACGGCTAATTTTCTCATTAACGTAAATATATGTATCAAGCTGTGTGAGTGATGACAAATGGATCATTTGATACATCATCCAACTAATGTTGGTTAAAATCAGAAGCCAAATATACTACAAACATTAGAGATATGAGTGGATTTTGATAGTTCTCACTAAATAAGAACACTGCATTGAGTCCTCTGTGATTTTCAGCTATAGTAAAAGGTCTTTGAAGTAAATTAAATTTTCTTGTTTTTAATTTACATTTAGTGATTACTATATATGTATCTTATTATGCAGCATTTCAGTCGTTGGCAAATTGATGTTTTAGCACTGTATATTTTACCAGTAAACATGCTCATAATTTTATTTTATTTGAATCAAAAGGTGCAAAATAAAAAAGTCTGCATATTACATTGCATTCTGGTAATTATTACAAAAAGAAAAATTTAAGGGATAACAATTTTTATATCTTTATATATACATATTTATTTTTTTATAATTAATAATATATTTTCAAGGGGAATTATTTTTAGATCTTTCAAAAGCTTTCGACATCATTAATCACGTTTTGCTTAAAAATGACTTTTGAATGGAATTTGTTGGGTTGCACTAGATAGGTTGTGTTTGTTCCTTAAATAAAAATCTCGGATAATAGAATCACTGTTCTCGAATGATTGTATATTATTTACTCCTATTCATGGTCAATTGGGATTGTTATGGGACCCATAGCGTTCAATTTTATTAGGGCTGTATTCTCCTCCTACTATATGTAAACAATATGCCCTTGATGTTTCGAAAGGGAAGAAAAGTTCTCTTTCTCTCTCCGGATGATATGAATATTCTTTGCAATACAGAAATAGTAGATCGTACAATATCATATGTTTCAAATTTGTTTTGTATTAACAAATTAATAGTAAGTGAAGGGTCAGTTTCAATGCAATTTTCCATTTCAAATAAACGATTATGTACTACGTTGAAAATGAACAACATGCAGATGACTTAGCTTAAGTTAACAGCATTTTGGGTCTCTCAATTCAGTAAAACCTCAAATGGAACATCAATTTAAATGAATTGAACACAAAATTATGTTCATTACGTTACATGTTCAAAATTTTTCAAATTCACTTCAGCTTCATAGTGCTCATTGTGTACTTATGTAATTGTTCCTGCCCACCTGAGATAAGACTAATATTCTAGGAAACACATCCAGACTTTTTGATTACAAAAACAATTGTATAATAAGCAAATCCCACCCATGTGATTCTCGTAAACCTCTCTTATTTAAGCTAGAAATTCTACCTTTTGAAGTATGGTTGATCTGTTGAAAATTCTAGGTTATCCAAGATATCCAGTTGTTGCTCCTTACAGTGGGAGCCAAGTTGTACCCCAACAGCCACAAATGATGGTACAACCCGGTCAGCAAGCTGTACCACAAAATGCATTCCAAAATCCTTATCAGGCCTATGCAGGAGTGCAGCAACCGTAAGTATTAAGTATTCATGAGTTACATACTACTTGGAATTCATTTTCAGTCTCTTAATTCCAATTTGTTTGTAGAACCTTTGTAGATCCTTTGGTTATGGCTATTAGCTTGTTTGTAAAATATATCTTAATTGATTAAATTTATATTGTGTATTCATTCATTAGAATTCCAATGGTTTCTATTTCATTTCATAAACGTTATAAATTTAATTAAGATATATGATATAAATTGTATTTTAGTTTTTTTGCAAATTGTACATGAAGGTTTGGACCACAAGCTGGGGGAACCCCAGGATTTCGCCCTGGTGCACCTAGTCAGCCACCTCAACCGCCTCATAGCTATGCGTCACAAGAATATGCTGGTCCTCCAAGTGCATACAGCTCTCGTTTCAGTGCACAGCCACCTGTGCCACAGCAGCAGCAACAGCAGCAGCCTCCTCCTCAGCAACAGCCGCAACCTGGTGGAGGAAATCCATATAGCAAGGGAGCTTACGGTCGCCCTCCCTCCCAGCCCACTTACCAGTAATTTTTACTTCTCTCTCCCAGTCTCCTGAATGTAGAAACATTTTCTGTTTGTTGGTCTTTGTCTCCTTCTGGTCTCTTATGCTTTGTGATTCCCAGCACAATAATCTTCTGTTGTGTTAATTGGGAGCAGACAGTTGCAGAAGTTAGAGGACCACCATGTGACAAGCATTGCTGGCCTGCGTATCAAGCTCCCTATGATTCTGAATATGAACGTTTATGTTGTAAACACAGCTCCAATTGCAAAGAAGTTAGAACCATGGTTAGAGATTACCCAAACCTCTCTTTCACTTCGTCTTTAATTTGCAAAGGATATGATATTTTAGAATATTATTTTACTTTTGTATTGAATATATTTTAATGGATATAAATGTGATTGGAAGTTTTGGGGCTCAGTTCTTTTTGTAAATATATATTGACATTGATATTGTGCAGATAATACAGATATTAACAGTTCAGATGTGCTGTATTCTGTGTAATTGAGAAGAGATTAAAAGTGTTGTGTGTTGTATCCTTCTGTTTATTTATCAAAGCTGGTTATGTGGGCCATGCATCAGTGTGTATTAAGGATGGGTTTTTGTGGGATTGTTTGTCAGTTGTATCTAATTGTAAAGAATAGCAATATTATTTCATTTAGAATTCAATATTATTCATTCTATTGATTTTATTGCAATTTATAGATTCCTCTTGATGGACAATATGTGTTTAACGCTGATAGCTTTTGGGGAAAAAAGAATTTTGTTGAATGCTACTAAAATTATTGTTACATATATTTAAAAGTATGAAAAAATTGATTTCTGCTTCTTTAGTGATTAATCAATGGCAAAAATCTGTTTATTTCAACAAGTTTATGTCTAGTTTATCATAAGTTGACCGAAAATCATGATTATCGTGTTATATGTTTTGTAATGGGTTTAAGCTTGTAAGAGCTATTCCAAAGTCATATATGCATGTGTGAAATAATTATTCATGATTTTATCAAGGTGGATATATTTGCAAAGAAAATGGAAAATGAAAAGCTTTTCGCTATTGATGTTACTTCTGCTGATGTAGTTAGTTTCTTATTGCTGTGCATCATTGTATTCATGTCATAAATGATAATAGAATAGCTATCTAATAGAGGACAAATCTGAAGAAAAAAAGGTTCACAAGATTTATTCAAATGAACTGAACTGTCATCTATTTTTGTGAACAGATTAAAGTATTCTTGCATGGTTTCTATTTCTTTTGACTAAAACATCAAAAATAAGAAAAAACAACAAACTTGAAAGTGTGTTATCAGGAGGATTGTACTATTTACTACATAAATGTAGTTCTAGACTATTCAGTGTGATCACACTTATTTTGATTTTTGTCAGTTTGTTAAACTGCTCACTTTTGTGAAAAATCAAAATAAGGTATAGTGTATTTTCTTTCTTTCGTTATGAGCCTCATTATTTCTGGGTTAATAATCTTTACTGTAGGGTATGATATTGACAGATTTTTTTCCTCCAAATATTAAATACAAATAAATAAATGTTTATTTGTTTTATCCCTGTAAAATTTAGGGTATATATTTTTTTCTGATATGCTGGAATAGAATGAATGCAAAAATATTTTATTGAACATAAATGTTTCAAATAATATTCTTCTCTTTTTATTGGTTGGACTCCAAACTTGGTGCTGTACAAGCTACTTTACTTAGGCAGGGATAAATAGGGCAGAAAATAATTGGTATAAATAGTGTGTAAATAGCAGAGCATATATATATATATATATTGAAGTCTGAATTTGAACAGTAGTTCCATTTGACTGAAGATTTAAAATTTAATAAAAAAAAATTATGACTGAGTAATATTACATAAATACTGTGGATTCCAAGGGGAAAAAATTGTCTAACACTTTGAATATTTTGATTTTTTTCTCTTCCCCTTTGCATGTATTATACTTCATTGTGTAGATCTTCACAGGTTCCATTTCACTGTGCTCAATGAAGATCACGTGGATGTCAATATAATATTTCTTGTAAATTGCCTTTTGTGTAAATTACTTCAAAATAGTAAGATAATGTGATAGTGCACACTACATATTGTGATTCTGATAACCAAGGAACGTTAGCAAAAATTCAGAGAATTGTCCAGTAGTGATACCACTAACATTTCACAGAATTGTTTTAGAATCAGAGTTTTAATATTTATTTTCAATTTTGTTGATGCACTCCTCAATTGAATTTGTAATCATATAAACCATTTTTTAATAAAAAATAAAATTATTAATTCTCAGGAATCATTTTACTATTCTATTAATTAGTAGTTAGTAAAAATTTGTGTCTGAATTTTTAATTTAAAATATGAATTAGGATTTTTCAAGAACATATAATAGTGGAATGCAATATTTTAGAGGATATGTATTGAAAAAAATTATAAGTAACAATTTGCTTTATAGTGAAATTTATATTTAAGTGTTTTTTTTTTAATAGTACATCACAAATTGTTTATGAAACTTTCAATTAAGATGTCTGATGAGTGTGCTTTATGTAACATATCACCATATCATCCTATTATATGCAATAATTCGCATAAACATTACTAATTGCTGTAAGATGTATGGATATCAGAAAAAACATTTACTTACAATTATTAAATACATAATTTATTTGAAATTTTGTTTCAATATTTGTAAGTAAAAGCTGTCAACAATAAACAGACAATATGTTATTTTTAAAAAGATTGTTAAACTTTTCTAGATTTTCACTGTTAGAATTCAATTTAATAGCAAACTCATTTTCAGTTCATATTCTTTGAAACTGGGGGGTTTTTGGTTTTACACTGTTTTGAGTATGTGAAATGCTCGGTTTTCTTCAGAAATTCTAGGTAATCTTATGTTTGAGCGTAATAAAATTATCCCAACATTAAGATATGCTACTTTCTCCATACCTTGCAAAGAATGTTTAAAACAATATTATGTGCAAATTTCCATGTTCTAGTCAAAACACTAAAATAAAATTGATCTTTATATTTAAAACATTGAGAATTACAAAAGTAGGAATTAAAGTTTGTTTTCTTCTTGTCGAAAACAAAGTGAAACAATGCATAAAAAAAAGCTATGAATAAAAGCAAGTAATTCTACAAACAATGCTTGAAGCCTATCAAGATGATTTTTTAAATATATCTCTATGTTAGTGAGTATATAAAACTTCTTTCCCTATTGTTCTGGAAGATTTGCAATACGGAACTACCTGTTTAATTAACACTTTATTTTCATAAAAATCACATAAGAAAAAGACTTAAATGATTTTTAAGCATAAATTACGAAAATGTCAAAATTCTCTGTTTTCAAACTCAAACCCTGCTTTCATGGGCCAAGTTGTGTGAAAGTTTCATAACAATATTGGGTCTTCAAAGTTCTACAACTGTTTGTTCGCTGTGTCATAGAAAACAGGTCAATCTGCTGTGGTTTAAGCTTGTTTGCACTATGACATGACAATACTTCTTGTTGACAGCCATGCAAAAATGTATTTCCCTCTATCTCCATCTCTCTCTCTTTTTCTGTCTCTCTCTATGTCTAGCTATCTATCTCTCTCTCATATATATACTACAGTGTTTTAATATTCTCCAAATTCAAAAAAGAAGTGTACAAATAATAAGCAAATCCCACCCATGTGATTCTTGGATGCCTCTCTTTATTAATCTAGGTATTTTACCATTACCTTTTCTCTTAATATATGTATCTGTGGTTTTTGTCAAAAATGACTTACGTAAGGGCGGGAATATATTTTCAGCAAACACCCTTGTCTATAACTACAACACTCGATGTAGTAATCATATTCATCAGGAAACAGTATCAACAGCTCAGTACAAAAAATTCACATATATAACATGTACATTATTTTACAACACCTTGCCAGATGACTTTAAACAATTAAATTCGATACAACAGTTTAAGTCCCAAGTAAAATCTTTTCTGCTGCCCATCTGTTTCTATTCAATTACAGACTATACCGAACATCTAAAAGGAAAGTAATATTAATTTTAACAATGACATTTAATGTAATATATATCATTTGGATTGTATAATTGTAAAGATACTGTAACAAGTATTGTACTTCAGCTTCTGGGTCAATGACCCCCCATCTCGATCAGGTTTTCGTCAAGTTTCCCTGATCCTCGAGCAAATGCGGAGATGGACCCTTCTTTTGTTTCTGGACATAAATGCAACTCCAAATTAACCTCTCCTCATAGAACGTCACACACAGTTTTTAATTGTTTTTGACATAAATAAATATGCTGGTTTTAACACGAATTACACTTTACTTCTTGCCTGAACATGTAATGCTAAATGCTCTCTATACGTTTTCTCATCTAAGAAAATTTCCTCACATTCTTATCACTAATCGAAGAACAGATGCTCATTTTATCTGTATTCACAATTGATATTTATATATGGGTGAGGGTAGGGATGCTAGAATTTAAGGAAACATTCACAGAATATTTTTTCACTCCATAGTACGTCACACACGGTTTTTGGTATAAAAATAATATATAAATAAATAAAACGAAGTCTCGTATTGGTTCCATGTGCGTTCAATAAAGAGAAGATTTGCACACGGACAGCTTATCAAGCAAAGCGCGGGAAATGCAATTTCAAAAAATAGATTACGCTTAACTACTCACATTTTCACACAATTGTACATGGCATATTTTAAAGAACTGATTTTTTTAGGACAGATTTCATGTATCATTAACATCTCTGTCATCAATGTTGTACTTTTGTAATGATAATTTTTTGTTTGCAAATTTCGAAAATACGAAGTGTCCTGAAAATGAGATCAACATAATTTTATGTAATATATTTTGCTATATAGAAGAAGAAATTAAAGAAAAAATTAGTATCTTTGAGAAAAAAGTTTTATTTATGTATTGTTAAAGGACAATTTGTTCATATTGTGTACATTAGTATAAGCATAAAATTATAGTTTATATGTAAACAACTTAATGTCACAGTACAGCACATCGTACACGAAGAAAAATTAAAAAGTAACTATAAAATTATACAAATACGTAAATAAATTACAACAAATTGATTATTCAAGTTTAAGTATTTTGCTCTGCAATTTACATTCAAAGTTAGCATCAATTTCAATACAAATATCAATATAAAATTGATGAATAACATGATAAATTCTAGGAGGACATGAAGTTATTTGTTGTATAAGAATGTTTAAAAACTCTTGCCAAACAATTCTTTTGTGGTTTCCTATTGTATACAGGAACCTTAATATTAACCAGATTCAACGTAAGTGAGCAATCAATACAGCCTTTCAGTAATTTCCGCAAAGATAAGACATCCACGTAGTTCTGATACCTGGCGCAAAGATATATCTCCATATTCATGAACATTTTATTATTGTGGCCCGAGGCGTTTTCTAACAACCCGTGCGCCACGTGATTTGTTCCGGTTTCTTCCCGCAGAGACACGCGCCCGCTTGCACATCAGGTTAGGCACGCCCGGGCGCCGCTCTATTCGCGTTGTATTCTGAGAAGAGTCCTGTGGAGATTCTCCACTGGAGAATGTTTGCGCGCAAGTTTTCTTGATATTCCACAGCAGGGGGTGCGGGCGGGGAGAGGAGGCCTCTGACTACGTCATGGCTTAAAAGGTCGTACCAACAGTGGACCTGAACTTAACTCGCCAAAGCGTGGCACGTGAAATCCTACGTTTTTTTAAAGGTTCGAGATGGTTGTTGCCAGCACTGTAAATTGGTACGTGCCGTTCCAAATCGAACCTAAGAATCCCAACGTTCCGTGCTATTCAGCGCTGGATGATGACTAGGGAGCTCGTGTATCAAGAAAACTTGCGCGAGCACTACATAGTGTAAATACGTGAATGAGTTCCTCTGGCGCACCAATTGTTGCTCGTTCTGCGCAACACCAGTTTGCGCCACGAACCACGTGATAACAGCACGGGCACTTCGTTTGTAAAGCCAGACCAGAAGGCCGCCATATTGCTTGGAGAGCGAGAAGTGTTGAGAATCATTTTGAAAGTGGTACAAAGTGACAATTTTCAACGGTAACCAACCAAAAATAACACTATGATGGTGCACAAGAAGGAATATTTAAAAGAAATGATTCATAAATCTTTTTCAATGTCTTGCCACGCGGTGATAATTTTGGTATCTGGCTGCATTTAAAATTCGCGTTAATATTGTAACAACTGGTAAATGATGCTCATTGACTGAAGTTGGATAAGATGGACAAGACTCCCCCACTACCACCACCACCACCGAGGATGTAGAACAGTGACATGCTGTGTCCATACTTCACGCATGCGCTTTCTGGCTAGGTTAGCGAATTTGCTTGCTGCCTGCGCGTACGGAAGACTCATAGAGTACAGATATTGTATCTCTCCTCTATGGGAAGACTCCGATTTCCACTCACTCGCAGGCTGAATAGCGCTTGTTTTGTTGGCAAGTTAATAACCGGAAAAGTGATTATTATTTAGGAAGTACTGGTATTTACTTTTTTCATTTGAAATTACAATGCTGCAGATTATTAGTGTTACTTGATTTTTTTATATTTCAATCTTCTTTTACGTGAATATTACGTCAGATGCAGCTAATCAACTACTACGTACACCGTTTTCTCATCTTAACGATGAAGAAAAGTGACAAATTTTGGTCGTTGGTCGACGACTTCTATGTTGTTTACGGTTGTACATCGTGCTGGCGAGAAAAAATCAAGAAAATTGAATCCTTTGTGGTATTGTTCAGATAAACAGCTAACAGGTAGTGGAGTTAAAAGAGAGGTTTTATTGTTGGTCATGTCTTTTATTATCAATAAATAAGAATACACGGAACAAATATAGGTATTTTCACATGAAAAATTTATAAAAACCTAAACAAAGCATGAAATTTCAAAATATTACATATGTAATTCTGGGATGTAATGTACGTCTGGGAAACAATTTAACGATTTCTGAATTATTGTCAGAGCAACTAACACGCAACACTTTTAGAATCTGAATATCTTGAAATCACTTCCAGTGTTTCATGGAAATATTGCTTTGGAACGTAATGATATCAGCGATACAATTGTTTTGAATAAATTGAACAAAAGTTTTAAAAAAGTGGATTGAAGAGAGACATGACAACGGCCACTTTTCACTGAAGGTTACCGTGGCATGACCCTCATGCCCAATTCTCAGAACGCCTGCTGTTCGGTAATCTGTTTTGTCTACCCTCAACATTGGTTCACGAGCCGCCACTGCAGCATTTCGAGTGATATTTAGCGTATTTCACGAATTAACACTTTACATGACTCGAATGGATAATTAAAAAAAAAATACAAGAAAGAGAAATGTTACCCAAAACAGCTACCGGATTATGTGAAACATACATACATCTCCGAGTTATCATTGCCTCCTGGAATAAGATATATGCAAGGAAAATATGAATAACAGCTTAATGTACAAAATGGTTTCAACAATGTTACAATTTTATCGTTATAAAACTTTTAAAAAACAATTATAATAAAACGACTTGTAAAAACATTTGTTAAAAACACAATTATTAGTTATAGGAAGGTGAGTTTTCCATGTCTAGGTATTCCATGGAAGTGTTTGAAATGAAAGACGTAAAAACTGAATTTGCTGCGGAATTCGTCAATTTCGAATGTATCTAACACGCGTTTGCATTCATTGAAGTATTTTTTTCCCTATAATTTTGTCTGTAACGTTCTGCATAGTTTTGATGGTATTTTCTTTGTACTTTTCATCATATAATCTTCGCATATTAATTGCCAGATCTTTGAAAATGTTTGCAATTTCTTCAGTTGTAGTTTGTGCCGTCAATTTGTATTTTCTTTCTTAACAAAATTCTTGGAATTTCTTCAAATCACTTTTTCTGTTTTTCGGTACTGAATTTTTAATAGCAGTTTCAATTTCAGAGTTTGAAACATAACCAAAACGTCTCATTTTTTATATTATATTGATACAAGCTATTATGAACAAAACAATTGTTATCGATAACAACAAGAAGGTAAACAAAGTGATTACAGAGTGCAAAAAAGTGCAAAATTGATAATCATATGGCGATAGACATTTAAGATTGATTTAATTCAACGAGCTAGAATATGCTAGAGTGGCTTTCCTTATAGTTTCAGTGCTCTTGGTGGAAGCTCACCGAACTAGCTAGTGGTCTCTGTTTTTTGTTTTGTGAGTGATATGCTTCAGCCACTCTTATGTACGAATCTATTCTAGCTCGTTGGGTCCGTAACCAGCGACAAATGTAATGCTATACTGCGATTTAATAATTGAATAATGCTATTCTCTACCCCTGGCAATTAACGTCACGATGGTGACGTTCAAGCTCCCGATTGGATAACTGTCAACAGCTGAGACCTACCAGGGGCAGAGTTGCTTAAATCGCAAGAAGAATTTATTTCCTGGAGGGCGCCGCTTTGACTACCAAAAACATGACTCATTTGCTTCAAAGATGGAGGTGCTTCAACCACTCTATGTAGTATATTCTAGCTCGTTGATTTAATTATAATATATTCTTGCTTACCATTAGTTACTTGCGACACGGTCAGACACGAGTGAAATAGTCATAAGTATAATACCACAATAAGTGCTGTGATAGCCGGTAAATTAACGACTCGCGTAGCGAAGTGTAAATTTACCAGCTTTCACAGCACTTTGAGTAGTATTTAGTGAGACTACATCACGAATTAGCATAATACAGTAATCGGATAGATAATTAAAATTCAAGGAATTGCGAAAAAGAGAAATATTACTCAAAATTGCTACCGAAATATGTGAAACATTTATTGAGATCAGAGTTATCATGGCTTCCTGTAATACCTTATTATCTAGTAAAATGTGAATAACAGTTTAATGCACAAAATTATTTAAACTATATTTCGATTTTATGGTAACAAAACTTTCAAAAAACCATTATAAAACAGCTACTTACAAGAACATTTATTAAAAACAATTATTAAAATTACAATTAATATAGGAAGTTGAGTTTTCCATATCTCGGTATTCCGTGAAAGTATTTGATATGGAAGATGTACAAGCATAATTAGCAGCGGCATTCATCAGTTTCGAATAATTTTGGTTGTAACGTTCCACATAGTTTTCATAACATATTCTTTGCACACTTTACCTTCTAATTTTTGCATATTAATTACCTAAAATATGTGTAATTTCTTCATTTGTAGTTTGTGTTGCCCATTTGTATTTTATTTCTTCACAAAATTCTTGAAATTGCTTCCACTCACTTTCTCTGTTTGCTTTACTGTCTTTCGACACTGAATATTTTATAATGTATTCTATTTCAGTTTTAAACGTTATTAAAGCGACACATATGTTAATATTATATTGATGCGCATACGCTATTATGGACTTCAAATAATTGCTATCGATATCATAAAAAAGGAACACAAAGTGATTACAGCGGAGAGAAAAAGGTAAACAAAGTGGTAAATTTATGGCGAT